TGCTTTTTTATGAACATATATTAATCACTAAGAATAACCTACTAGAAAGAGCAATACAGCAAAAAGTTACAGAACATAACAAGGATGACAAACATTTTTGCTGTAATTATGAAACACAAGGAAGCCTTCGAGATAAAAACGAAGCATAGGACCTCGGAGTAGTGCAACTTGTAACTTGGCTTAACAGGGAAAAATTAAGACAATATTCAAAATCCAAATGCAAGAAAGTTATTTTTCTCAACACGAGAGCACACATTAATATTCATGCAAAAGTTAAAGATATGCTTCTGAGAGAAAAGACAGTAGTTTAGGATACAGTAATTTGCTCTTACATGCAAAACAGGCAGTACTGACAAGCATGTCAAGAGGATCAATTCACAGAAAACCAAGAGCAAATATTTATGTAGGCTGTACCTTCCTTCCTGTATCCCTTTTTTCCTATATTCTTGCAATTGTTAAATGCATTGTTATGCTAATAAAGCCTCACTGAATTAAGCAGTGTAACCTATCTGAGGCTATGCCCAAGATATAGAAAAAAAGAGGAATAGGATGCAAAAAGATCTGCATTTCCAGCAAGTGGCATTTTCACTAGACCACTGATTCCTACCTGGTGAGGAACACCAGCATTTAAATTTAGTTATGGCACAGCACGGAACACAAGCTAATAATCTCTTCTGGATTTATTAGATTGGGATAAAAATTACGAGTGGCATGAGGGAAAAGAAAATGAGACAAAAGGCGATTGCAACAAGGCCCACACTGTGTTTTTGCCTTAAACAAACAAAAGCCACAGTACGGGAGCTATCATACTAGACAACAGAATGAAAGTATCAAAATTCAAGATTTTCAAGTTGGGGGTTTTAAACTTTAAAATCAGTGTTGTTTAGTTGTTGGAAGTACAAAGTAGCACTTGGGGGGTTTAATCACTGACGTTTCAAATGGGTATAGCAGTTATTTAAAAATAACAAAAGGCACAGTAGTATTACCTAATTTTCTCACTTTAGGACAGTTGCTTTCAATTGCTTGCAAGTTTTCTTAATACTATGAACCAAATTTTCTGTGTTAGATGTCTACCGTAACCTCCTAACCAAAATAGTTCAGCCAATTTTGAAACTAATTCTATGGAAATATATTTTTTTCTAACACCTTCTCTTTAGAATTTCTTAACACCCTTGCTTTAAGAAACAAAAACTCAAAAATTGACAAATTTATGATGTCCCCAAAATCATAATTAAAAATGCCCAACAGACATCTAAGAAAACTTAACAGCTGAAATCGTAGAAGAGTGCACCTTAGCAGCACATCTTTGAGGCTATTCCAGTTTTCAGTACTATTCCAATTCCATGTCTGCTATCCTGACCAAATTCTTGAGGAACCATGGTTTGGGCGTACTTGCTCTCATAACTAATAGTTTAAATAAAACCTACTTTTTTTAACTATTACTTTTTATCTGCTACAGAGGCACGCTTGTGCCTTAACTTATATCCACTGTATGTACACCTAGGATCTTGTCTGATTTTCTTTTAATTAGAACACTAGACAAAAAAACACACAAGCACACCATTATTTGAAGTCTTTCACAGTCAAGAGGTGGGTAAACACTGAGAATACATCCACAAGAGTCCAGTAAGGAGACATAGCACTCTAATGAAACTTCGCAGAACTAAGTAGGTAAACCCTAACCCTTGAAGTATAATCAGTACTTTACGATAACTGCACAAAAAAAAAAAAAAAAAAAAAAAAAGTTCTCCTGAATTGGAGAGCAACTGCATGATAAAACAGGTTCTCTTAAGTGAGTCTCTTCAAACACTAGTAGAGGACCTCGTGAACTGCAACTGAAAAAGACTTCCAAAGTCCAGGAAAAACAAAGGCACATTACAGGTGGCTGTCATGATTTAGTGTGAATCAAAGACACCTCCAGAGAGGTGAAACCTGTTTGGTATTTTCAAGTCTTGAAAGCTGGGAAAAAACATCTAATCTGCCTGGTACAATGACAGAAGTCACACCAATCCTAAACCTCAACCAGGACATGAAAGCACTGAATATTTTAAAATTCACAATAGCCATCCATCTTCTTTCTTCTCCATTCTAGAAAGTACTCTGTAAATTAATTTTCCATATCAATGAGGAATAACTGTGCCCATGGACCTTAAATCCACCTGAATGTTCAACTCTTGCCACTACAGCGTCTTTGTAGGAAGTTTCTCTCAAAAATGATAAATCAGCAGGGTAAAAAAAAAAAAAAACACACCACCACGCACACCAGAAAGGTGACAGTTAAAGCAATTTAGCCTCAACTGGAAATTTCCATTGCCTACCTGTTGGATGTTACTGCATGCCAGACAAAAAGGAAAAGTACCAGTATAACTGCAAATGGTGAAGACAGGGAATACAGAAGGGAAAAAGACTCATCCAATAAATATAGGTGCCTTGGATGTAGAGCACAACCTAGAGACATGTCACGTTACACAGCTTATCTCAGGCATGCTGTTTGGTTGAAATACCAGTGCCTGTATAATGGTTCAGATGATGGAAGGACCAAGATCAAATTTATGTGCTGACACCATTCATATAAGAAAAAACAAAGACTATGCCTTTACCAATTTCCAACTGGCAGACACTGGTTACCAAAGTATAGTCCTAGAGTCACTGAAGCAGCGTAGGAGTTCATTAATTCCCAGGAGTTCCCTTTTAAAGCTGTCAAGCAAAAGTTCTCAGCATTTGAGCCTCCCTTATAGTTCAGAACCTAAAGACTCTTTAAATGGTAGTAGCTGTGAGCAAGAACTTGACAAGTAAATCTACACCCACTTAAAACAAGCTAGGTACTGAGGTAAGGTACACAACTCCTCTGTGGGGCAAAAAAACCCCACCAACAAAAAAACCTCAACACGTCCCAAAAAAACAAAGCCAAAGGAAGCACAGGAATTTTAACCACTTAACCTATGGAGGGCTCTCTAGTTCAGCTAAACACTAAGAGAAAGTGCACTTCCTAAGGTATACTACACCTTTTTGTGACAATATGAGGAAAAAAATGCTGTGGTATTTCTGCTCCTACCGGCTAAACACGGGCTCTGTTTCACTGCTTTTTGAATCCGTTTATCCTTTGACAGAGTTTAACAAATAGAAGTGATGGTGCACTCTTCTTGCTTATTTAACTTTTCCATGTCATTTCTGAGTTTACAGACCTTTGTCTTATCCCATCTCAGTGTCTCTTTTTCAGGGCAAGAACCCTATTTACTCATTCCTTATAATGATGCTGTTCCTTGCCATTGTTCACTATCATGGCTCTTCTTGTACCTCTTTTGATACCTACTGTATCTGTTTTGAATAGAAACTGCCTTTTTCCTTTAATATGAGTTTTATTTGCTCTCTTACCACCTTGTCAATATAGGCTGGTGAGGTTTTTCAGCAGTTTGTGACATCTGATCTTCATAACAGCTCATTGCATAAACTAGCATAATCAGCAAACTTGGTTTCTGTTCCTCCTCCTTTTCCTAGATAATTTGTGAATACATTGAGCTACACAAAAGGCCATAATGCTGATCTTTACCGTAAGTCTTGGAAACCTCTCCAATGTGAAAAGCAAGCATGTTTGGGTTTGTTCAGGTTTTTAAAAATCTTTTCATCTGCCACTAAACTATGAAACAACCTCTCTTACATCCAGATTGTTCAAGTTCAGTGTCTTCGGTGAGTTATGTAAAAAAAAAAAAAAACACCACACCACCACCAACAACCAAAAAACCTAACTCCAATTGGTTGTGATTTCCCTTCACAAAACCTATATTGGCTCTTCACCAAAGCATCGTATTTTTAATTCATTTTTTTAAAAATAGTTCCTGTCAATTTGTGCAACAGAGATGTCACCCAATTTTGGGTGAAACGAACCAACAGGTTTGAAAGTTCCAAGACAGAAGTCACAGAGATACACTGGCATAACACAAGCCTTATTTCTTTAGGAAACCAGTCCAGGAGAAATACATAAAAATATGAACGGCCACCTATAACAACAAAGTGTTATTTGATATTTAAATGTATGCTGTGTTGGCATGCACACAGTATTTCTGCTATGCATGTACTATACACAGACATGCACATGTGCACACACATGTATGTATGTATTAAGCTTAAGTTTATATTCACCATCTTAAATCACTGTAGACTCCATAAATTAAAAGTTGATGGCTTACATGCACAGAAAAAGGTATATTTGATGCATTCATTGTAAAACTGATTCCTGTCATAAAATGAAAAATACAAGAAACACAAAGTATAAAAACATCATGTCCAGTACAGTATTCCTTCATACTTTAATCATGGTGGTTCTCTACAACTATAACTTCCTACTCTCTTGCCTTGGTAAATGCAATCTTGACCAACTTAAATTCATACAAAATACTACCATAAAGACATTTTTTTCTGGTTCATTACTTCAACTATGTCACCCTTCTGCACTCCTCCAGTGCCTCCCTTATCTCTTCACCATCAAACATGAACTACGTATCTTCATTTGTATGACCTTTCAAATACAAAACTATAGCATATATGTCAACCTTCATTTGCTATCAAGATGTCAGCCTTGGCCACCTCTTTGCCAGGGCTAGCCCTAGTTGTCCATTTGTCAAATCTCCCAAACAAACCACTCTTCTGTAACTAAGACCAGCATTTTTGCATGAAACATGCAAAACTTCAGATTTTCCTTTTTAAATCCTTTCTTAAAACATTTTTCTCAGAACAGACATTGGTTAGACCACGGATGAACTGTAGCCGGCCGGCATTTATGCCACTAGTCATAACACAGTCATTATTACTACACACTTGCACAGACCACTTTTTAAAATCAATGTGATTGGGATTATGTCATGCTACAGGAAACTTCTAGCCACTATAACATTTTCACACAAATATGTTTATTAACCTATTTTCCAAACAAATTATTTTAACATCGAAAATAAGCAGGTGAATAACATGGTTTGCTCTCTTAAACTCTTGTGGTAGATTACCTGAGTTGCAGCAACAACAGTAGTTATAGAAGGCGCAGTTGAAGGCGACAGAGCTCCCACTTGCTGCAAGTGGCTTGAAGCCTGCTGAGGTAAATGAGAACTGGAAACGGGAGTGCTAGATCCTGAGCCAGATACTGCATTTGGAAATGATACTGCTACATCATTGCTGCTAAAAATACCTGAAAAAAATTACAAAAACAATTACATGCATCTCTCTCTCTCCCCCTCCCTCTGTTTTCTAATAATCATGTAAATATGCAGTAGAAAATTAATCAAGACAAGCAAGATCACTTAATAGATAATGCAGAAAGTTCCTGTGTTGAAATTCTAACCATGCTGATTGATAAAAGTGCTCTTGTCATTTGACATTCTACAGATTGATTCAGTTCTAAGTTTCTGTAAAACATGTGTGATAAATCAAATATTTATGTGCATTACAAACTGCTCAAATATTAACAGTAGCAGAATTTTTGGCTAAAGTGACTGCCTTCAACTGAGTCTGCTATCAGAGTTTGTTCTTTCAACTAATTACTGTAAAATTTAAAGTAGATAAAGAATGAAGTATTGGGTTATCTAACTGAACATACATAATACAAATGGAAAAATACTTTTTAATTTAACGTAAAATGTTTCTGAATAACATACATTTGTTCAAAACTGTAATTCTGGCAACTACTCATCAGCTTGTGCATCTTCAGAAAAATACTGACAGCAAGTCTGAGGACAAACTACTCAGATTTGCTGGTAGAACTGGTGGTATTTTGTTATTCACAAACTAAAACTCCAGTCATGATCTAAGAATGCTTGACTAACATTTCTGCTAGAACAGCCAACAAGTAAATGACTAAACATGCTAACATTAGTTAGACTTGTACGTTAGCAATTTAAATAGGGACAGTTCATACCCCTCTGTGAAGCCATTACTTCTGTTCATCTACATGCAGGGTAAAGTTCATTATACAGGTTGGGGAAAAAAACCCTACTGACCAGAAGCCCAGGACAAGAAGTAGTACCTGTCTATGAAACTGTTAGGCTCCACGTGCATTAGATAAGTGAGCTGTCAGCTGGCCAAGGAATATCAAGCATGGTAGCACTGAACTGCAGTTAGAGGAAGAGTGCCACAGGGAGTAAACAGAAGTAGAATGAACATGGTTAGATCAAAAAAAGCAACAGAACTGAAATGCCAGTTAGAAGGCAAAGGGTGGAGCTAATTTGTCACTCATACAAATAATGATTTGAAGAAGGCAGTGACAATAAGATATGCAATCTTAAAACACCACTCGCCACTCAGCAATCCCTCTAAGCACAGGCAGTCAAGGGAGACCCAAACGCACGCATAATACGCAAACACTGACGCATCTTAAATTCCCTGCCTCTATTAACTGTCTAGAAAAACGGAAGAGAAAACCAGCCAGACCCAGCAGAGAAAGAAGATATGAAAGAAACAGATGAAGACACATTCCAACAACACTTTTTTCCTGCCTAACCAAGGTTAGTGACTTCATATCATCTTCTCCCCAGTCTTTTCACAATAGCACAATTCCATACCTGCTCTGCTTTTCCACTGACCTTCGTATCTTTTTCCATTTAGCACACCTTCTTGGGTCATATTCCCCTCCTTTTTTTCCCCATCACCATCCCAAAAATACACAGTTATGGCATTACTAGCAGTTAAGACCCTTAAAAAGTTCACTTTGTTATTACATTTCTCCATTTATATATCTAACTAGACAGTAAACTCTATGGATCCTGCTCTAGATTTGTCCCTGCATACCACCAAAATGAACATGACTAACAAACAACCTTGCTACTGAGTCTGCTCTTAAACACGATATAATTAAAACCACAAAAACTGAAATACACCCCAGGTCCTCAAAAGATTTTTCTTTAAATCTACTTTCAATCAAATATTTCAAATTATTAAAATGGATTATATTTTTGACCCTTTGTGTTTTGAATGCATTAAAACAACTAAATGTACAAAAATTCTTGAAAAAGATGAGACTCTCATGCAATTATCTGCTCCGGGAACAGTGAATTTTAAGGGTAAAAATAATGAAATACCACAACACTATCAAATCATAAGACCTCGTCACCACAAATTCTATCACTCTCATAAAACGTCAATGATAATGAACGGAGAAAACAAAATTTTTGGTGAGAGTCAAGTACTAAAAAAGATATTTTTCCAGAAAGGTACAACAACTCCAAAGTTTTAAAGCTATTGTCGATTTTTCTTCCTAATTTTTCAAAACCTCAGATACTTAATAACTGCAGAGCTGCTGCTGCTTCTATTTTAATGATAAGGTTTATTCTTCCTCTTAAAAATAAAATTGTGGAATACAAGCAGATAGTTATAAAATCACAGGCAAAAAACTATTTAAAATGAAAGACAAGCAGTAAACTAGGTTGCCAGTGGAATGAGGCAAGCAGAGAAATAAATCCTTGATTTTCACACCATTTCAAAAATACCTGTATAAAAACTATGTTCACATTGTATTAGAAAGCAAAGAAAACACAGATCTAAAATGTATTAAATATATCAAGTTTTCCTTTTGCGGTTTTGGCAGAGATAAATCCCTTTCTGGATCAGGAAGGAGTAATAACGAAAGCCTGTACAAATCACTACAAACCACATTAATGTTTAAAACAAACAAACCACCTTGAAGTCCTTCCCATATTACTGAAAAGCCAAACAGCCGTAGCTTGTGACGAAGTACATTGTGTAATTTGACAGAGGCATAAACAGCATGGTTAAATACAATCTTCAGCATTTTAAACAGACCACAGTTCAACTGCAGGTGGGAATGGACATGTAAACACTGTTCAGGTAAAGTAGGGCTGTGCTAAATACCACTAATACAGCTGCAGAACATATTCTGACAGATAAAATGCACATATAGCCTGCACTGCTGGAGTGAAAGGCTTAACAAAAAAGCAACTAAAAAAAAAAAGCATCTCTGGACAAGAAATAACTGCCTGCTTAGCACAGAAGGGTTGTACTATAGAGCAGGGAACACATCAGATTATGCAGATTAGAGAAACCTGTATTCTTTTTGCTGACAATCAATGATTTAATAGATAATAGAGGAAATAAAAGAACTTCAATAATAGTAAAAAACAAAACAGCCTCAAATCAGAACTAGCTGTGCAGCAACATACACCAAGTGGCACACAGAACAGTTTCAGTGATGTTACTCAAAATCTCAAAATTAAGTGGTTACATGAACAGAATTAACAATAAATTCTGTCTTTCGGTGTTGCATCTCGCAGACGACACCAATACACTAAAACACACTTTCCCACCATGATTTCTGTATCTAGCTACAACATCCCCTGTTCTTTTTATTTTCTAGTACTACAGCGCACTACGTTACTCAGCTCCCTTGCACTGCCTTCCTATGCTCGTGATTGCCTAGTTCAGCAAGAGACCACACCAGGCTGTGGTTACTCCTGTAGCCATACACTGTTCATCCCTATTACAGGAACTTAAATATTTTAGACTCCTGTATCAAGTTTTCTCAAAATTGGACAACAAGCTCAAAGCTTACTGCAGGCCAAAATCAAGAGAGATAACATGTAGACTGCTTCCTTAGGAAGCTAAGAAAATGTTCTCCATACCATAAAGCTGTATTTTCTTTTTTAATTCAGTAACTTGAAACTCTTGCAAAAATTGTGAATAGAGGAAGTTATCTAAGATATCTACCAGAGGTTGCTGTTCCTAGCATTTTGCCAAAACTTAAGGAATAAGTAGAAACTGGTCAAAGAGTTTTTTAAAAAATGTAAACTGGAAACCCCACAAAAGTTGCACAGAACTACAGAACCTTCCTAACTGGGGGAGGACAGATGGACATGGGGCAGGAAATTTTACGTTATAATAACATCTTTACAAAAACTGAAGCTATATACACATTTTCAGTACCTTCACTTCCTGTGATCTCAAGAAGTCTCCCCTAAAACCATGGCAACTTTCTCCATAGAGCAAAATGGAAAAGTGCCTTTGAATGAAGCAGTCCATTAATTAGTATCTAAACATACAGAAAAAGTAAGTTTTGTTACACAAGAAAGAACACATTCTGTTCCAGTAGAATATCAATAGTGGAAGAAATATCCCACTATTTGTTATTTTGTAATATGGCCATAAGCTAAAGTGAATCTAATGCTAAACACAAGAAATAAAAACAGGTTGTGACACAGTTGTCTAAAAAAATAAATAAGTTGTCTTTGAAACTGCCAAGCCAGCAACAATATTTCATTTCAATTCATCAGAGATAATGAAACTACAGCTTCGATGCTAGGGCCAACCTGTTTCCTTCATGAAGAAATTTGAAATCTAAGAGTCAAATAATCACGCTGACTCCTGCTGCTGATGAGCAAAGAGGTAGAGTTCATTTTTAGATAGTTTTCTACAAGATTCTGCAGTAACAGTTCTAGAAGTGCACAGAAGTGATAGTTACAGATCAGCAGCCTGATAACAAGCCAGCATTTCCCTCCCTTTCAGTGACTGGGGGTCCTTTTTTGATGGAGCACAGCAGCCTCTGTCACAGATCAACAGTCAATACCCACCTTTTATGAAAGGCATACTAAAGGGCATTCTGCGTCCTCTCCATGATAAGGTAGAAGGGAAAAAAGCTCCCAGACTCAAAGTACCCTAAGAATACACACCACTGGCAGTACAGGGGAGGAGGAAAGATAAAAAATACAGGTACATGTTTTCAAAATGGAACAACTATTCTAGTTTCATACCTATTGACAGAAGGCAGACTGCCGTAATTATTCCCTTTAAAAATACTCTATAGATTTGATTTTCAGGCAAAAACCAAAATACTTGAGAAGAACCTTCACACAACTGAGGAACACAATTTAGCATGGCAATGTCACATATACGATGAATCGGTGATCTAAGAACAAGGTCATATCATCTGAAGTCTGCTATCAACCTCCATTAAAATTAACACCAAATCATTGACAGCTCAGCTAGCAAAAGATGTTTAGTCCATCTCCCCTGCCTACTTCAATTCCTATGTTCATGATCCTGACTGTACAGGTATCTACAGTCATTCAGAAATGTATTCAATAACAGGGTGGGGCATGAAGATCAGAACTGATCCATGGAGCTACCAGAATGGTCTACTCCCCTGTTCAGCTAGTCTCACATCCTATAGTGAACAACATCATT